TCATAAAAAGATGGATGGATGGATGGATGGATGGACGGACGGACGGACGGACGGACGAATGTATGTATGTATGTATGTATGTATGTATGTATGTATATATGTGTGTGTGTGTTATATTTGTGCTGATAAATAAATAAAGGGAGACTAGTATAGATGTATTTCAAGCTATTTAGCTCTCATCAGCTAGCCATACCCTTACTGGGATTCGAACCTGTGCTGTATTGCATCTTAGGCAGACGTCTTAGCCATTAAGCCACAGGTCCTCCTCCTCATCAGCTGGAGCCAGGGAAGAAGGTATATATTTAGTGGCACAAATTAAAAAAAAACACAAATATAACAAAGGCAACAGTAAAAATATTGGGTTTCTGTCGTGATGGACTCTTGTGACGAGCCGATTGACAGATAATGGAAGCAGTTAGCTTCCTCCCATAATTGGGGGATACCAGGGGTTGTGACACTAAATATACACACATATATATATAAAGAAAAGCTGTCCTCCTCTCTCGCCTGCCCACCCCAATGACCTGTCCAAATGGGCTGGGTCCTCTCCGGAAGACCAAGCTACACCCCTCTCTCTCCTCAGCCAAGAGCTGGGCGTCCTTCTATCCCCTCCCCGCCACTCCATGTCAGAGGAACCCCGTTCTTATTTGAGGGGGGATCACGCTGTGTCACCCTCTTCTCTTGTCTAGCGCATACGGGAGGCGGAGCTTAGTCAGAAAAGGCCAGGCGTTTAGGGGTAGGGAGGGGAGGAGAGTTGCTTACAACAGTCTTGCACCAGAGGCAGCGCCAGTCCTGCAGCCTCCGGACGCTGCCGGATGTCTTGTCACACACAGCACAGCGGGCACCTACCGGAAGGTTCCCCTCCAGCCACTGGTGGGGCATGGCCACCTGCAAGGAGAAGGGGCAGGCTTCTGTCTGCGCATCCAGCGCTGTCCCTGGCGGGAGGGGATTGGGAGAGGGGGCCGGCCGGGTGATCTGCTGCCCAAGGGAGCTCCAGACTCACCCCGTCTTCGTCCTCAATGATGTCGTTGCCAATGGAGGCCAGCGTGGTCCACTTGCAGCTGTTGGCAGCTCTCACGGCACAGCGTTTGTGGGCTTTGAACTTACACACTGCAAGAGAAGGGCAAGAGTTGGCAAGAGGAGGGGGAACGAGAGGGCCGGGCCCTGCCCCACTACCAGGGAGACAGGCCTACCTTCACAGGAGAGGCCGTGGGATGTGACGCCGGACAGGGCCTCTCGGCAGACGTTGCAGAAGGTGGGTCGGGCATGGGAGCAGGCGTACCAGTTATGCATGCCGGAAAAGTGCTCCATGTTGAACTGGGAGGCCTGGAGCAGAGCACAGCAGTTGGGGGCTGCAGTCACGGAAAGCGCCCCGGCCCCACCCTCTGCCTGGGCTGTTTCCGGGACCCTGATCTGCCCCAGGCTTATTGGGAGGTTAAATCCAAGGTACCCCACACGGGCCCTCCCAGCAGGGCCCCCTCGCAGGACCACCTCATTGATTTCCCATTTCTGGACAGACTTCAGAGCCCCGATCCAGTCCTCCATCTCCTTCCGGTTCTCGGCGCAAAGGATGAGTTTTCGGAACGGGGTGATCACCTGCGCGAAGGGAGGCAGAAAAGTCCTGCAGATGCTGATGCTGCCACCCACTCAGCCATCTCTGTTTCCTGGGTTGACCAGTGGTGGGTCCCGATCGGAAGCCCCTGAGCCCTGGCTACCTCAGGTCCAGGATGCTCCTGAGCCAGGAAGCTGTTAAGCAAGTCCTTAGCAACCCAGTTGGCTTGGTTTCCCCCCAAGTATGTGGGGCTCTGTTTCCCCAGATGCTGCGGCAGTCATGCCGCGGCCCCAGTGCAGTTGGGCAATAGCAGCCTTTGAAGAAGCTTCTTAGGGTGAGCCAAAAATCAGGAGCCCCTTCTTTGGATGGTACCTGCCAGCCGGATCTCCAGCCTGGGTTTCTGCTTGCTATTGGCTGCCGTAGAAATGGGGAAGGGGGACATTTGGGACGGGGAAGTGAACTAGTGTGTAGTAGTCCCACGAGAACTGGGAGGGAGAGAGACACAGCTCTCCTCCCACAACCTCTTCAGTGAGTGAGGAGCCTCTGGGTGACCCACAAGTTATGGGTCCTAATCAGCCTCCTTTGACATTTGTCCGAAGCCATCTTGGCTGGGGCTGCTTTGTCTCCAGCCTGCTGGCTCTCCGGGTTCCGGGCAGAGGTGAGATTTCTCCTCCCCGATTGTTTCTGTATCATTTGTAAGGCGGGATGCCTGATAGCGTTTCCACATTGGGCTCTACCTCGGATTCTTTCCAACGGCCACCTACCCACCCAGCCAGTGGTGGGTTCCGGATCCTGTTGCAACTGGTACACTGCAAGGGGCCCCGGTATCCACCACATCCACCACGTGCAGCACACATGCGTACTTACCACCCGCAACGCTCCAGCTGCTCAGCGGAGCGTCGCGCAGGCACCGTACGCTCCGTGGGTGTGCGCGAAAGCCCCAATCAACTCAAATACAGGTAAGGAGAGCAGGCGAGGCAGGTGGGCCCTCCAGAGCACCCTACCAGAACGATACCTGATGCTCCCAGCAGGCACCGGTACACCCGTACTGGGGCGTACTGGTCGTATCCTACTACTGCACCCAGCCTTCAAGAAAAGAAGGCAAGGGCGGAAATAGAGGACAAAGGGAGCTACTGTGATCTGCAGGGCCCAAAATAAGGAACATGCTCCAGCCGAGTCGGAGGAGGATGGACTGGGTGAAGGAGGGAGAAGAGACTTCTGGGTGTGACTTCAATGTCAGGCTTCTGACCCCATCTAGTCTACTGGGAAGGCTGCCAGCTGGCGTGGTAGACTTACCGTAAAGCTGTTGTTTATGTTCTTGGTGCTGGTTTCTGCCACGCTGGCATCAGACAGGTCCACTTCGTCAAAGATCAGGGACTGGAAGGGCAAGGAGGAAGAGGAGACGGAGCCTGAACTCCAGAATTTTGGGAGGCCAACTGTGGGCAATCCCTCACCCTGATCAAGCAGCTTCCCTTTCACTTCAACAAAGAGCATCTTGGGTGGGAATCAGATGAAGAAAATGGGCAGAGGCCCCGCTAACTGCAGGATTTTCAAGAGAGTCCTTGACCTTTAGTGCAGATTTCGAAAAATCCGTGATGCCCATCCCACTCCCAGCCTCCTCCTTGTTGCAGAGTATCTCTGCACAGGGCAAGGGAAGGGGTGCGTTAGCTCTTGGGGAGAGGCCAAAATGTGGGCTCTCTAAAATGCCCAGGGCTCCTGAGCAGAGGCTGGCAGCCCTTCCATACCTTGCCACCCTCACCTTGGCATCTTTGGCATAGTAGAGAGTCCGGCCACGTAGCTTGAAGAATCTTCTCTTCCACCGCTGGAAAGAGCTCGTCTGCTTCAGCAGGAGCCCCTCCCTCACGCTCTTCTGCAAAGAGATGGGAAAGGGGGTTTCTTCGCATCGTGGCCTCGCCGGCAGATTCAGACCCAGCTGCCAGGATCGCAGCAGCCTCTGCGAGTTAGTGGGTGCCGTCTTGGTGTCCCGGGGCTTCTCACAGTGGTACCCTCAGCCTCCGGGCTTCTTCTTCTGGCCTACCCCTGTCACCTGTCGCCTTTGTAATGGCAGAAGTTAGGAGGCTGCTCTCATTGAGAGGAAGGCTGGGCACCTCTGGCCCCGCCTGGCCCTTGCCCCAAGGCAACTGCCCTCCTGCCCTCTGGCAAGGCCAAGTCTCTCCCCTGCAGCCCTGGCTGAGTGGGGCCCCTTGCTGCTTCTCTCCTGCCTGCCGCCACTCCAAAGGAGGGCAGGGCAAGTGGGGTTAGTACAGGGCTGCCGCAGGATCAGCCGCTCCGAGGCAAGGAGGACAAAGGTAGGTTTTTATCGGAGAGCTCAGCGCCGAGGGATCAAAAGCTCCACCACAGGAACCGGAAAAACCTGATCCTCCTTTGGGGAAGGAAGCTGAGCACCCTCTGCCCGGGGAGAGCCCAGGCGAACTACCCAGCACTTTTGACCTGTGACGCAAAAACCCTCAACCGGGCTGTACCACGCTCTTCCGGTGCAGCTTCAGCGACAGTCGCCTGCCCAAGTCTTGGGCCACCCTGGCTGAGAGGCACAACCCAGGGTAGCTAGGGAAGGAAGGACAGCTGGTGAAGGAAGGCTGGAATACTCAATTCTGCTGCCCCTTGGAAGCTCCAGAGCATTTTTTAGGCTTCCTCTGTCCCCCAAATGGCCTCAGTAGCCCAGTTGAACCAGTCACGGAATTCCTTTTCTTCTTCCAATCAAAGGTTCCCCGCACCGCCCTCTGTGGGCTCCCCTCCTGCCCAGGAGTCCCTCGGGGGTTCCCAGGACAGCAGGGCTGTCTGTCCACCTTCCAACCCGTCTTTCAAGGATCTGCCCCCAGGAACCAAGGCGAAAGCTCAGCTGATTGGATCCCGTTTACCAAGGGGACTCCCAGTTTGCCAAAACAGGAGCTGTTCCTTGAGCTCAGGCTGCCGGCTGGCCCGTTGACGGACAGGTCAACAAGAGACAGAACCCCATCTGATCTAAGCTGCTCCTCCCCCAGTGAAGGCTGATGTTGATCAACTAACAGCCAGCCACAGATACACTTCTGACAATGGTTTGTTCTGGAAAAGGACAGCGCTGTCCACAAGGGCTCTGGGCCCCAGCTTCCGCTCCTCCAAAAGGCCCTGCTGGAGCTACCCTGACGGGGCAAGGACTCCCCTCGGCTGGCTGCTGCGCTCAAGACTCCAGAGTCCTCCTGGGGGCAACGGATCCCTGCAGCCCACCTGGCAAGACCCCTTCTGAACATGGCCTCTGGAGCATCCTTCTTCTTCATTATACCCCAAGGGCAAACTTGGGGCTGCTCCTTCTCGCACCGGGGTGTGCTTGTGAATGACCAGGCCGGAAAGAGAAGGAGGAGGAGGAGGATTAAGTCTAGCTGGACTTTTAGGCGGAGAATCTGCTCTTTCCATGCCAATTGCCACTCACTGGGGAGCCCAGAAGGCCAGAAATGCAGACAGTGTTGGCTTTCGGGGAGAGGGGGCTGCTGCACAGAAGCTGCACCTCCAGGTCCTGCCCGCGTGCTCAGAGGTTACTTTGCCGCGCGTCGGAGCCTGGGCCGGGGGCCGCCGGCCTGCCACAGCAACACAAACAAAAGGGCGAAGAAGCCCGGCTTAGATTGGCAAGCATTGCCCAGCTCAACACAGCAACTGCGCGCACACCCACGTCCCCCATGGACCCCCGTGCCTTTAACGGGCGAAGGACGGACTTTGGGGAGTGCGCTTCTCCTTCACGCACCTGACTCGACTCCAAGGAGTTCCTGTTTTGCTTCCATCTCTCCCCACCCCGCAAGGCCAGCACTCCCCACAAAGTGCCCTGGAGATGGCGACCAGCCCCAGGAACCCACCGTCCATCCTTCTTCTGACAACTGACAGCGCCATGGCAGCTTGTCTGCCATCAGCAAGCAGACGAGGATGCTGCTGACACCTGTGCCAACCTCTAGCTGGGGACCCCGGGCCAGGCTGCCTGTTTGGCACGCCTGGCAAAAAAAGCAAGCCAGATAAATGCAGCAGCATAACTGCCGGCCGGTGCAGTTTTTCTTGGCTCTTTTGCTTTCTTCCTGCAGCTTCTTCTCCAAAGCTTTGTGCAACAGAGGCAGAAAACGTTTCTCAACACCCACGGGGGAGTGCGTGTATGGGGCTTTTAGACACATCTCTATGCCGCCTTTCAAAACGTGACGTGCCTGAAGGGCGTGTAACATGCAAACTGCATGTCTGGCTGAGGAATTCTGGGAGTTGAAGTCCTCAAGTCTTAAAAGTTCCCAAGCTATGCTGGCTGGGGAATTCTGGGAACTGAAGTCCTCAAGTCTTAAAGTTCCTGAGCTATGTTGGCTGGGGAATTCTGGGAGTTGAAGTCCTCAAGTCTTAAAAGTTCCCAAGCTATGCTGGCTGGGGAATTCTGGGAACTGAAGTCCTCAAGTCTTAAAGTTCCTGAGCTATGTTGGCTGGGGAATTCTGGGAGTTGAAGTCCTCAAGTCTTAAAGTTCCCGAGCTATGCTGGCTGGGGAATTCTGGGAACTGAAGTCCTCAAGTCTTAAAGTTCCTGAGCTATGTTGGCTGGGGAATTCTGGGAGTTGAAGTCCACAAGTCTTAAAGTTCCCAAGCTATGCTGGCTGGGGAATTCTGGGAGTTGAAGTCCACAAGTCTTAAAGTTCCCAAGCTTTGCTGGCTGGGGAATTCTGGGAGTTGAAGTCCATAAGTCTTAAAGTTCCCAAACTATACTGGCTGGGGAATTCTGGGAGTTGAAGTCCACAAGTCTTAAAGTTCCCAAGCT